ATCAAATGTGTTGAGGCTCGTGAAGGGGGAAGTGCAGCATTCCCAGGTTGCTCCTGTGAAGGCCTAATCCAGGCAAGGAGGTTAGGGCAGCCCTCACTGAGGAAACGATGTTGAAACTAAGATGGAATAGGAAGACATCAGCCAGACAACAAGCAGAAACATCTCAAATGAAGTCTTAGGAGCAAGAGAAACTCAAATGCCCAAAAGAGTAAGCAACTACAAACAATAACAGTAATGATAATAAAAATAATAATAGTTAAATATATTTGCTCTATGATTTACTATTAACTATATTTGCTCTATGATTTACTTTAAAAGTGCTCACCATGTGGGGCTAGCCCTATTCTAAATGCTTTATTGTTTTATCTCATTTCATGTCATTTAATTTTCATAAAAACTCTTAAAGAAGTAAGCATTATCATCATCTTGTAGATGAGGAAGGAAACAGAATAAGGCAGTCTAGAGGTAAAATATGACAGATGTTTGTCTTATTTTGACGCATGAAACACAAAGCAATAATTTTAATTTATACACAGAAATGCATTATCTCCTGATCTTCTGCAAATGCCTGGTACTCCTAATGTGTTCTTCATTTTTCTTGGTTTACTGCAAGGAAGACTAAAGATCAATAATTCTTTTCCACCAGAAAAATGATCTAAGGATGATGATGCTGGTAACTGACAGCCTCAGGATCAGTGAGACAACTGGGAATGGTGGGGAATGGGGAGAGACGGAGAACAGCCTCTTTTGGACTCCAGGTAATGATTTGGGAAATGCAGGTCCGGTGGTGGATCTTTTGAATTTTCAATAGACATTAAACCCTCAAGTTTTTATCTGCAATGTCCCAGTTTTTAAATTTGGCTCAAATTTAAAAAGTAGTATATAGAAAAAAAAAATACGAATCTGGCCCACATGAGGTCAGCAGGGGACAGGCATATGAGTTGAGGCTGGAAAGGAGTCAAGGGTCAGAACGCAGAGAACCCTTGAGAGCATGAAATAGAATCCAATGGCAGCAGGAAACTTTTAGTTCAGGTAAATCTGGGACTCAAAGGTCACATTTGTAATCATTTGAAATGATGACCTTGCTCTGCTGAGCTCTGGCAACTTCTAAGTGGCATACCTCAGCTCCAAGAAGACTCACACACAGCCCCTAATACAATACTTTCCTTAAAGACAGAACGTGTCTGTCTTAATTCCCTAGTTTTTCACTTGTACTTCCACAAATCTTAGCTTCACTGTCTTATCTCATGTCTGACCTCATGCTTGTCTGTCCTTCTCTGGAAAGGCATCTCTTAGCTGCTTTCTTATCTTTTCAAGGGCACCAAGTCTACACCCAAATAAGGTGAACAAGCTTTTTGTGTCCTGACAACAAGCAGAAAGTTCAAGGTTGTCCAGGCGCTCCAGTGAACAGCTGTCTGATCTTAACCCTCAACCCCAGACACAAGGCTTTTGGGTCAAACCAAATGACGGCCATCAGGAGAGGAACAGGTTTGGGGTCAGGAAGACGGAGGAGCAGCTGTCCTCTCACCTGCTTCACAGGAGGTGCAGTGGGTAGGGCCGCTTCCTTGGCATCTCTGGCAGGTGTGGTGGCAGGGATGGCATTGGTTCTCAAATTCAAATTTCCGTGAGGGACAGTTGGAAACACAGCGGCCATCATCAAGAATCCTAGAGGAAAAGCAGACTTTTAGAATTCACCAGGGTGGCTTTCCAGAGTGGCCCTAAGTATCGGAACATGTGGTTTTCATGTTTGCTGTACAGATTTGACTTCATTGTTTCAGAAACAAGGGGGATGACTGGGAGTGATCATCTTAGAACATGTAAAATATTAGTCATGTACCCATCCTTGGCCCAAGATTTGGACCTAACAGCCAGCATGCCAGAAACTGGCTGGGAAAACAATCCCGAATCTGGTTCCAAACAAGCTAACTGGTGCCCACAGGGATTAAATCCATATTATAGGCCCCAACCAAACCCAGCCAACAGTCAGATGGAGGTTTCTAAACTTTCCATACACTCAGTGGGCCTCTGAGAGAGGCCTTGGAGAAAATGTTCTTCCTTTATCTATCAGCATGCTTATGCTTTGCAAGGGAAATGTCAGCTCCAAGGGCTCTTGATGAATAGAACAAAACACTGCTTTGTAGCTCGGGTGCTACTTAGAAGCCCGGCCTGAGTATGTGGCAAGTAATCAATGAAGTCTGATTTTGAGTGTCTTGTTTTGCAAGCATTTCCTGAGATATGGAGTACTGGAGTCTCTATTTTCTGACCATGAACACTTTCTGTGAACACCTACAAAGGGCATTACTGATGAGTTAGTATATGGGCTTCTAAAACTTTGGTTTTATACATATACAATATATATCCTAATGTCATTGTTAATATTTTTATAATTTTGCTTCATTATTCTTTGCAAACTAATCATAAGAGCAAATGTGATTAAGTAAATTGTATCCAAGTGTTCTGTTCAGAAAAATACAAAATGTTTATCAAATGCAAGAGTCAGATAGGTAATATGAATAGATGAAATGAGCTGGGGGCTGCACACCCGGAGTTCCTAATTTAGTGGGTCTTAAAGGGAGGCAGCTGAGAATTTGCATTTCTGACATTCCAGATGGTGCCAGTGCTGCTGGTCTGGTGAGCAGTCTTCGAGATCCGCTGCTCAATGACAGTCTGGATTACTGTGGAATTCACTAAATGATTCCTGTGTAATACAGGTGACATCAAATTGGCATCTCTTACACTCCCTTAGAATAACAGTTATTGGGCCGGGCGCGGTGGCTCAAGCCTGTAATCCCAGCACTTTGGGAGGCCGAGACGGGCGGATCACGAGGTCGGGAGATCGAGACCATCCTGGCTAACACGGTGAAACCCCATCTCTACTAAAAAATACAAAAAACTAGCTGGACGAGGTGGCGGCTGAGGCAGGAGAATGGCGTAAACCCGGGAGGCGGAGCTTGCAGTGAGCTGAGATCCGGCCACTGCACTCCAGCCTGGGCGACAGAGCGAGACTCCGTCTCGGAAAAAAAAAAAAAAAAGAATAACAGTTATTATATCAATTGTGAGTTCACTGAGTACACAGCATACACATGCTCCTGTGAGCATAATGCTGCCATCCAGGCCTGGGACATCTGAGTGGGCCTGCGAAGACAGGGAAAGTTGTCTTTTTCTCTCTACTACTCCTCTCCACTTAAGCTGCACACCACATGAAAGGTCAGCTGTAGGCCTCAAGCAACTTGTTCCTGTATTGGCACTGGCTTGTTTAAAGTTCACTGTTTGCAGAGCTAGAACCAACCCTGAACTGAGGGGTGGGTCATTTCAATCCCAGGTTTAGAGGAAAGTTGGGTGGGGCAAGGCATCCTGAATAGTATGTCACTGCAGTCTTCTATCTCATTCGTTCCCACACACTGAAAGTCTGTGTCATTTGCATCTGTTTGGAGGCAGAATGGGATTCAAGGCAACAACCTGAGACATAAGTCCACCTCTGTCTTGGATTCCCAGGCCCTCATGTTCTGTTAACCATCCCCAGCACCACTGAATGAACAATCCTTCTGGCTCTCTGCAAAGCGTGAGTCCCAGTCCTAAACAGACACTCACACGCATCTGGCTGTCCATGTCAAAACAGATCCCCTGCACCATGGCGTAGAATGAGGTGCCTGTGCTCCCAGCCCAGATTTTTAGTGGATGGCGCTAATGCCAAAGGGGGAATATCCCAGCCCCAGCCTGGCACCAGTTACTGAGCTAGAAGACTTTTCAAGGAATAGTCTGGATGTGGCTAATTTAATATGAACAAACAAAGAAAACTGTAATCTTTGTGTAAGAAAAACTGTGGAAGAGCTTTCTGAGGATTTTAAGCTAGAAAGCTATTCGATATTCTGCTGAAAAGGAGAATGGGGCAGGTTTATTCTGGGGGTTTATTTTCTTGCTAAAATCAATTGAGAAAGGGATATGAAGTACATCATCATTTTATCTCTTATAGCAGTGGTCCCCAGCCTTTTTGGCAGTAGAGACTGTGATTTGGTTTGGCTGTGTCCCCACCCAAAATCTCATCTTGAATTGTAGTTCTCATAATCCCAAGTCATGGGAGGGACCCAGTGGGATGTAACTGAATCATGGGGGTGGTTATCCTCATGCTGTTCTCGTGATAGTGAGTGAGTTCTCACGAGATCTCATGGTTTTATAAGGGGATTTTCCCCCTTTGCGAGCACTTCTCCTTCCTGCCACCCTGTGAAGAAGGAGCCTTTCTTCCCCTTCACCTTCTGTCATGATTGTAAGATTTCTGAGACCTTCCCAGTCATGCAGAACTATGAGCCAATTAAACCTCTTTTCTTTATAAATTACCCAGTCTCAGGTATTTCTTCATAGCAGCATGAGAACAATCTAGTACAGACCAGTTTCATGGAAGGCAATTTTTCTACAAATGGGGATGTAGAGGATGGTTTTGGGATGATTCAAGTGCATTATATTTATTGTGCCCTTCATTTCTATTATTATTACATTGTGATATATAATGAAATAATTATTCAACTCACCATAATGTAGAATCAGTGGGAGCCCTGAGCTTGTTTTCCTGCAACTAGATGGTCTCATCTAGGGAATGATGGGAGGCAGTGACAGATCATCAGGCATTAGATTCTCATAATGAGTGAACAATATGGTTCACACTCCTGTGAGAATCTAATGCTGCTGCTGATGTGACAGGAGGTTGAGCTCAGGCGGTAATGTGAGCAATGGGGAGTGGCTATAAATACAGACAAGGTTTCACTTGCTCACCTGCTGCTCACCTGCTGCTGTGCAGCCCAGCTCCTAATAGGCCATGAACCAATACCAGTTCATGGCCTGGAGTTTGGGGACCCATGTTTCATAAGATGAGATGACAGATTGGCTTGGGGGGAAATCATTTGTTTTGGGAGAAGTGATCTCTGATTAATGGGAACCACTAAAAACCACTCAGAAATAGGAGAAGAAGCAGAAATAGAACCCTTCCATGTTTACATAGGGAAGGGGCTGTCTTTTTGACTTGATTTTAGGCACATATCTATCACATAATCATGCTTGAAACCATTCCCTCCATGTCCACCCTAACAAAAGCATAGGCGACATCTCCAGTTTTTGTAAGAGGATGATTATTTCTAAAGATAGAAAGATAGGGAAGACAGTTATGCTTAAGTGAAGGCACTGAATTATGCCACCACGACCCACCCCACATTCTCCAAACTCCCCCCAAAATATTGCTAAGAAACTTGAAGAAAAATCCCATTCCAAATGGCCACAGTTTTCAACAGACACTAACAAATTTTCCGTAGTAGAAGAGAATAGATATTTTGCTCTATAAAAGTAGAAAATGGGGCTGATGAAAATTTTCCTTAAAGCCAACTCAGGGCATCTCTGGGACCACCAGGCATCCAATTCATGGATTCCTGAGATGCCCAGGCAAGCTCATCTCTGCAGGGGAAGAGCTTCTCTCCCCAGCTCATGCCAGCTCTTGACCTTTTCATAGGAAGTGAACCATTCCAGACCCAACAGGCCTGAAAGAAAGGGAGAATACAGTGGAACCAAGTGCTCAACAGCTGGGCAGAGATGATCTTAACATTGGCGCTGAGTATTCCAGAAGGCCCCAGGATGTGTGTGTGACATGAACTGTAATGAAAGAGATGGCATGTCAGGGTTAGCTTGTCCTCTTTGCTGATTGTTGACTTGGCCTAATTAAAGTCATTACAATGGCACTTAGTGTAATTTCTTGGTGCTTTAATATTCTAAAAGAATGAAATCTAGTAAGAAGATTTTTTTTGGTCTGAATTCATAGAAATAGATCAAATAAAATGTTTGAGCACGGGTCAGAGCGGAGATAACTTTGAAATGTTTTTAATTAGTTCACTGACTCTGTAACTCCTTCAGGGCTGGGTAGGGAAATTAGTTTGGGCAGTGAGGACCCCAGCATCACAGAGCTTTGCATGTTAAATACAGTGGCAAAGAGGGCGCTTGGTTTCTCCAGGTTTTTAATTGTCTTTAAGGAGCTAAACCCAGTGGTTTATAAAATTGTAAAGGAAGGGTGGTGGCTGCCTTATTAAACAAATGTTCAAATATTCTCCGGGTTCAAAAGACATGCACACATGCGTTGGAATTTGATTCTTGGTATGGTGGGGAATTGGAGAAAAAAACAGAACCTCATTTTGAGAATGCTATCTGTATCTTAGAGTAAGTCCTGAGGCTTCTTTAAGGCAAATTCAATATTTAGAGGCATAGTTATTTTAAAGAGACACTTGGAAAAATATGCTCATGGTTAGCATTAAAAATTCTTGAAACTGTTCCTTTGTGTCTTCTTCAGTCCTTTCTCCTTCCTTCTTTCCTCTTTTCCTTCTCTTATTCATTCTTTCCTTTCTTCCTTCATCTTTCGGAGGGAGCTATTTGGAGAGCCAAACCTATGATATTGATTACATACTTCATCAAGCTCAA